CACATGGAAACCACTACCTAATGAAAAGACGGAAACCCATACATGGATCGTTGGATCTAGCTAGAATCTAAGGGTTGTTTCACCCACCAACCCATTTCATACATTTCACAAAAATCCCAGATCCTTTGTGCAAAATAATAATCAGCATTGCTGGCGTTTGTATGCAAAAACGTGAGTTTCAATCAATAGCACACATTTTAGATCCATCGGCCTATGCTTGGGTTCCATGTTTTCACTAAGTTGCTGTCATTTGTTACTTTCTCTTTCAAGAATTGAGAGTTTAGGGCTTGATTCTGACCAGCAATATAAGTTCAAGGTTTGAAATAGACTTTACTCAAATTATAGATACGTAGAGATGTACTAGCATCCCCAAGCCTAATCCATGCTCATCCTCGAGCATGAAGATGGTAAAAAAGATAATTTAAAATGTGAATGCTATCTATCATGAAGTTGATTTATTGATGCAAAATGTTTTGGTGAATCTAAATCAATACTAAAGATGCTTGATAATGGTCTAATTTAATAATCTTAACTACCTCAGCGCACATAAGGGGTAGTTCTCACATGTTGTTTGATAATGAAATGCATCGTGTCAAAATTACGATTGCCAAAGTTTTAGAATGAATTTGAAGATTTATTGGGAGCACAATGATAACTTTTAAGTATAGAATGTTTACATGACACACACTTTTAGGCTAACTCTCAGAACAACAATCACTTTTTGCATGTTTGTGCCATTTCAACCACTCAATATGTAAAGATTGAGAGTGCAAGTTTAGGTCACATGCCCTAATCATTGGCAGGAGAACATAGTTTTGAAGTCAAAATTAAACAAAGTTGTCGGAGATGATTCTGGTGGATGGTGCCCTGGAGAGATGAATAGGTCGGAGAGACCAGTTTACCCGGGCTTCGGCTACCTCGGTGGAGGTAAACCCTGAAGGAAATATGCCCTATAGGCAATAATAAAGTTGTTTTTTATATTTCCTTATATCATGATAAATTTTTATTATTCATGCTAGAATTGTATTAACCGGAAACTTAGTACATGTGTGAATACATAGACAAACACTACAAGAAATATGTCAACTTGTGACCTTGACTATTGGTCACTGAAAGGTCATTGTTTTTCATTTGCGACCTTTTTGTAACCAAAAACAGAAGGTCAAAAGCTGGCGGTCATAAACTGAAATTAACGACCTTCTCTGTGAGAAGGTCGTAGACATTTACGACCAAAATAGGCCTGCTGTTTTGTTTTGGTCACTAGCAGGCTCCTCAGGCCACGTAGGCATCCGACGTGGCAATCTGATGTGGCATAAGAATCAGCCCGGTCCGATTAGGTGTTTTACATGGGCCGAGCCCATTAATTCAGCCTTTTATTATTATTTTTCCTTGTTAATTCTGGTCGGCTTCATGGGCCAAGCCCAACGTTGTAGCCTTTTTTATTGTTGGCCCGTGGCCTTTTATTATTTATTGCTTTTCTATTTTCATCCATTATATATTCAAGCTGGTCCTACTAGTCAGATGGGTCCCACTTGTCATGATCATCTCTCAAATTGGTCCCACATGTCAGAAATGTACAAATTTGACAGATTATTTTCATAAGTGGACCCATTGGTCAAGTTTCCATTTCACAAGTTTTCAGATCACATACATAATCAAAAAGAACACATAAATTTCATCAAATATACCACTAAATAAATCTATTACAATCTTTACAACACATATATGCTACAATATGCTACTCTTCACTAAGTAGAACTTGACGGCTTCACACTTCACGGCTTCACACTTGCTTCACACTTCACACTTTGAGCATCTGTAAAAGAGGAACAACCACAAATTTAAATCTCAATTGCAGTATAGGCCATATGCAAAAGCAGTTCAAAGTTGAAACAACGTCAATTAAACACACGCGCACAGAAACATAGGAGTCAAAATGCAGTATAGGACCAGCATAAGGAAACTCTTGTTATCAAATCAACACACAGCTTGTAGCAAAACAGCAACATAATACATTATAACGAGAGTAAGCTTGAATCAAACAGCACAAACACATGTGGATATCTCATGTGAGCATCATGCTGTGGTTTTATTAAACGATGATACAGCAACAGAATACAATATCTTCAATGCAAATTATGGTACTTGTAGCAAAACAGTTTGAAACAACAACTACACAATACATTATAACGAGAGTAAGCTTGAACCAAACAGAAAAGGGAACAGTTTCGAGTTTAAAAGTTAATGCGAATTGATTTTGCAGTAGCAAACATTGATAGATTGTTGCTAGTGCATACTAGTATGATTCACACCAGAGCAATCATCCAATTCGATGAGCACATAAAAGTAATTTAAGTGGGCAAAGATCCCCCCTCCCCCACCCCAAATCTACAGGAACAGAATAGCTACACTGCGTCAACGGACACAACCGAGCTCACATGCAGTAAGACCAAAGCAGAGGCATACATGCATACCAGCAAGAGAATTGCTCCTGCTACCTGCTGTTGCTGCCACAAAACGCATGACACATTAGTTGTAGTACAAGCTATGGATCTGGATTCTGGACTGAGATCCAACACGACGTACGTACAGTGAAGTGCAGATATGCAACTAGCAGGAAATCTAAAATACTTGAGATATAGGTATGCAGCAAGAACAGCTGGCAATGCAATGATAGTATGAGAACACTGTAGCTCTGGAAGTAAAAAGAACATAATGCAGCGATGTGCAAGTCACTGAACTTCATAGCAATAACCTGCCACAGCTCAGCGCTTATGTACTTCAAGCTGTCAAAAGCATAGAGGGCCTCTCCGTTGGCCTTGTTGACGAGTTGCCATGGCAGGGTAGCCTTCCTAATCCTTGACCCTTGTGATGTACTTCATGTCCAGTGCTGCATCATATGTGTATATTCAAATGAAT